TGTACCAAATTACACTTTTACTACCCCATTTCACGCTACATAACGCATTTATACCGTTTTGTTTATGTTTCCTATATGCGCGGCCAGGCAGCTTTTGCTCCCGGTGTTTATTCTTTGTAATGGCTCAAACTTTACAGTTGCTCGCCGACAAAGCCTACATTTAATGACGGGCATAACTTGCCTCGGCCTGTAACAGCCACCATCAATCGGCAGCAGCACCTGCAGGTGGACCTACAGAAGCCAAAGTTGTTCTGAGATTTATTCAACTTTAATGTAACGAAAGTCCGAGTCGGTGTGGACAGAGAGTGGCCACCTGACCGCAGCTGGGGCCGTTAAAGCGCCGGAGCCCGTCCACAGGCTCTCAAATCGGCCGTATTAACAATTAATATTGGACATCCGGTGGCACTGCCAGCTGCGCCCCATTTTTATTGTCTGTGCGCTGAAAGGATCCCTGTTGTCTCGGCTGGATACTCCGCGAAGCGTGGTGGCTGATTTAGGTAGGAATATTTATTTCTGCGTTATATTGCAGTTTTAAAAAAGTAAACTAAAAATGCATAAAATGTGAATGTGAGGTGTGAAAGAGAAAGGCTGGATGTGGGAGCGCGGCTCTCCAGCTCGCTGTGCCATGCGGGACACGCTGCTGGCTGCCACCATGGCACCTTCCCTTCGTGCTCTGGCTCTTTATGTGCTGCTGCTGTTGTTGTATCCAGCTGTGCGGGGACACAGCACCGTTGTGCCCCGTCAGTTCGATTCCACCGACCGGGTCAGTGATTAAAAGATTTATTCGGGAATATTGCGGACGCGCACTGGATGGACGGGGAAGACAGGCGAGGGGCGGCAGAAGGGGGCCACTTTTGCTCTCCATCGTTACGGGAAACGGAGCTCCAAGGACACGGAGAGGCGGGGGCGCATCTAGGTCGTTTTGGGTGTTTGTTCTTGTATTTTTTTTCTTTGCAGTTATTAACATGTTTTAATTTTATTGCTGGAGATGCGAAAGATTTTTCCCAGGCAGACCGACCTTTGTCCGCCGCCTAGATTTTTGGAGCTTTAATTTGGCAAATTGGCTTCCCAGACAGACTGACAGCCAGATCGTCTCTCCTCCCCGCTCTCCCGCCTCCTCCTCGCTGTTTTCGGCCACACTCTCTGCTATCACAGCCTCTCACTGGGCTCCTTCTGAATTTACTTTTTTCTCACTTTCAGTCTCTCTCCCTCGTGCGTAACCTCCATTCATTCGTGCAATTTGCCATCAGCCTGGAGTTTTTTTTTTCCTGATTATTTCTGAAGAGGCCTCCAGCTGCAAAAGGTTCAGTGTCTGGTCAGACTGCTTTAATTTTGCCTCGTGGTCCAGTGTCAGAATGACTTGCTTCCACTCCCACATTTGTGCGTTATACCCAGCTAGCACTATACTACGTTAATTCTGAAAGTGCAAAACAAGTTTTTATGGAGAAAGTGTGGTAGTATATGGGAAAAAAATACCATAAATTATCACATGACTGTTTGAAACTTCAAAAATAATAATAATCATAAGAGAAATAGCTGGCACTCCTTAGGCAGGTGCTATACTTATATCCTTGCTTGCAGACTGTCATGAGGACAGCTGCCACACCATGGACATGTAGTCCTTCCTGTTATACTTTCAGTTAGGTTAGGGGCCAGTTTAAGCAGTTATGTCTAGTTGTTCCATTGCAGTGTTTCATTAATGAACTTCTGAATACTCAAGAACTCTCACTCTCTGGACTTTGAGTTTCATGTGGTGAGATAGTTCACAACTACTGGAGCTCTACAGAAGGCAGAAGGCAAAAAACTGAAATTTTGACTTTTTTTTTTATTTTTTATTTTGGTAATCTTAGTTTAGTTTTTTCCTCTCTCTGTTTTCCAGGTTTCTCTTTTAAAACACCTTTCTGTAAGTATTTGGGACCTCAAAGCTCCAAGAGCCACTTTACAGTAACATCTGCTGTTTTGATTCCAGGCATGAAGCCATTCATTTCAGTTGCATTTTTATTTATATAGTATCAATTCACCACAACTGTCACCTTAAGTCTCTTGACATAGTAAGCTAAAGACCATATAATGCTAGAGAATAAGGACCAACAACCAGATGTGAACAGCGTTTGGTGACATTGGGAAGGAAGAGCTCCCTTTTAACAGGAAGAGACCTCCAGAAGAACAGGCTCAGAGGGGGTCAACCATCTGCAGGAGAGAAATTAGCAGTGGCCACCTGGTAGCATTCACTTTCAACCACCATAAGCTGCTGCTTCTTATAGGCATATGAAAGCATCAGTTGTGGTTGAGCTATGCTCCTGATCTGTTTTAGTTATCTTTTGGAAACAGGCATCGTCAGGGCAGACTCCTCTAACATGCATTTGCGAGATGCTAGCATGCTTTCTGAGAAAAACTAAGACACAAGTGTCATTTTATTTCAGTTTGGACATTACGAAAAACATAAAACACTACTGTTCATTGAGCTCCCTCTGCTGCAGTCTCGCTTTCACAGCAGCCAGTTTCGTTCGACAATGGCATTGAAAGGACGATTTCTGAGAGAGTAAATTGGAAAGCCCTCAGATTTCTGTCCAGAGCCTCATTAACCCTCTGATAGTGAAGCTCACCCCCCACACTTACTTTCATTCTTGCAAACAGGGGAGCTGTAACTCTGGTGTCATGGCGATGCTCTTTACCCAAATAAAAACCCCACCACAGGCAAACCGTTTTTAAAACTGCCCGTGTTGGAATACAGTGGGGCTGAAACAATTCATGGATTGGTCACCTAGTTCATCAGCTGAAAATAACCAAGAACTCATTTTGAATTTTAATGTTGTTTTCTTTTTCTTTTTTAGTTTGAAGCAAGAAGTACGTCCTTTTTCCAGCACGTCATTTGAATGACAGTAAATAGACTGGATCTGCATTCTTTATTGTAGCTTGGGTGAAACAATGTGTCAGTTTGGAATGTAGGAAATTGTAAATAAGTTACGTGCCTTTTTTATGATTATTTTCACACACAACAATTGAGAAAACAAATGCCAGATGAATCAATAATAGTGCAACTGTTTGCAGCTTTTGAATGTACTGTAGGTTTGTTTTGGAAGGGTACATTATGGCGTGACACAGATTCTTTTGAATACTCTGCCCTGTGTTACATAACAAGCTGTTGCAAGGATATGGGTTCAGTTTTATTTTGCATTTTTCTGTGCCCACACAGTGTTCACCGGATAATTGCTCCAGTGCATTTGTAATAGACTAATAGAAAAGTCAGCTCTAAGTGTACATGGGGTTAGAAATGGCTGCAATTACTGTAAGTTCTGAAGGCATCGAAAGGTCCTCTGTGGCGGGGGATGGCTGGTGGGGGGCCTCCATAACAAGGAAAAGTAAATTTCGTCATGCACCACCTGCACTACATGAACCATTTTCTTACCGCATTGTGAGTGTTAGCATATATATTTACTTTGTCAGTGTGCGTCCAGTGTTGTTACATAAGCCACAGTTGTGCAGGCATCCACTTTGCTTGCGGAGTCTTGTTTACAAAGCGCTAAATGCATCGTTGGCTGAATGTAAAGCCTATGGTTATTGGTTACTGTTGACTTTTTTGTTTCCCCGCTGCCTTGCTGTGAACTCTGTGAGTGTGTTTATGAGCAAAGAGCCCTTTGGACTGTGCCCTATATTTAACCAATGTGCACAAAAGGATTTCTCAGCTGTTATTGCATGAAGCCACCTATATCAGCCATGGTATGAACAAATATAAATACAAGTCTGTTTGGTGTATCTGTTTCATTGTGCAAATTTCCCCTGTAGAGGCAGCAAATAGCTAGAGGAGCGCTGTGTTCATATAAACAAGATTAAAAGAAATGGTAAATAGTACACCATGGGCACATTTGCATGTGCGCTTCGCTCCTGTTTGCAGGATATATCAGCACCAATGTCGCATCCGGCAACAGAGGGGAAAGTGGCTTGGTAGCCTACTAAATGCCATTTTGATTTATCGTATTCAAAAGCTTTTTTTTGCTCTGGTAAGTACAGAAATATTCAAAGCTGGCACTCAAACAACTTTATTGTTGGTACAAGTGAACTGCTTCCATAATAATCTACATAGCTTTAACCCTTAGTGCAAACTCCCAGAGCTTCGCGTTTCAAACGGTCCCGCTCTTTGTGCTGTAAACTTTATGATAAATAATGTGTATCTTTTCTTCATTTGTATGAAGCCTGGATTATTATATTTATTCCACCCGTTGGTTATCAGCTTCAGAGGCCTGTTTGTGTCTGATAAGTGTTTGTGTACACAGTATGTTGGTAGCTGGCTTGTCTCATGTGCCAAATACCAGTTTTCCATTTGGCGTGCCAAGGCAGTGTCATAACCGCCCAGCCAATCCTCATTTCCTCATTCTTGTGTGCCTGAGGTCAATCCACAGAGAACGTATTATGGCATTGTTCTCAAACACTGAACCAGGGTCTGTGTGAGCTGCTTTCTTCGACTTTTCCACAGGTACTGAACAGTAGGTCTGCATTGTTCCTGCGGCGTGTGTGTGTGTGTGTGTGGGTGTTATGTTGCTCGGTATTTCATCATGTTGCCATCTGAAAAGAGCCGGGTGTATTCGGCGCCTGCAGTGTGGCCTCCTCCCTTCTCCTTTAAGGGAGAATCAGAGTTTTGGTTACACAAACATTAATGAATGGAGCAGCTGAAAGCAACGTCAATGCTCAAGTTTACCCGTATGAGGCGGAGCTAAAGAAGCAGTTCTTCAGTGGACCAGTAAGATAGTCCGATGAAAAGCGATTTACTGTGTGTGTTCGTCTGCACCACTGTTGCTCATAAACAATTAAAACACATCAGTGAGTCACAGTGTTGCACTGTGACATGTAGCTTCAATATTATTAACACACTGCAGAGGGTTTTTTGTAGCTTTTTTTTAATCTGGCGTGCAATCTGTGCATCTGTTCGTGGCTGAAAATGGTCACCGACAAATGCACCATTTCTTCCTGTTCAATGTGGAATTGGTTGAAATCTGTGAATTTTCCACCCGCCTGTCCTGCACCTCTTGCCTCTCTTCCCTTTCTATTCTAAGCCCCTTCATACAGACAAGTACACGACACATGCTTCATGGGGCTACAAATAGGTCAATGCTGACTTTTGACTTTATAATTCCTGCGATACTGTATTCAGATATCGGTCCAGTCTTTACTCAAAAAGCTACGCCTTTTATCAGTGACAACGTGCAGATCTGTGAGGTCAGTTGTTTAATTCTGTGTTTAACACACCATCCGTCAGTGTCGGTGGGCCAGTTGTTAGCAGGAGATGTAACATAGTGTGAATGAAATTATCAGCAGAGGGTTAGAACTTTGTAGTATTTCGCATTAGCATCGGTAATAATTTTGCTTGTGCATTACTGTCTAAAAGTCTTGACTCACCCCTCATTTCTTTATATTTTTCTTGCAAGAAGCCACACTTTATTTTTTAAAGAGGTCTTGAGCTACAGGTTTGTTTGTTTTTTCTTATACTAATTTTCAGTTCTTGTACCTGTGTGAATCATTCAAACATAAAAAGGCATCTGACTCAAGAGATAAACCAATGTTCTGTTTACACATAACAGACAGTTTGGTGCCAGACAAAAGATCTGGCAGGTGTAAAAACTATCTGCAGCAGATAAACTGAAAGTCATGTCCTTAAGAAATACAAGAAAATCCAGCAAAGACCTGACACAGGAGAGATGCATCTGGTCTTTCTGATAAACCATCGATGTTTACCAAAACCTCATCAGAAGTCTCAGTGGAAGGGAGGTTGTCTTGACAGAGAGAAAACACTGAAGCATGCCAAATTACCCAAGAACTCGACTGAAAATCAGTGGCAACAGGTCTTATAAAGTGAATTTCAAACTTTAAATTTTTGGTTCAGATCACTATCAATATGTACAGAAGTGGTTAGGAGAGAGGTACAACAGTAAGTCTCTGCAGCCACCTGTAAAACACATTGGAGGCTCTGTCGTGTTTTGGGACTTGCATATCAACCAGTGGCGTTGGGGATCTTGTCATAATTGGTGGAATTATAAATACAAGAAAACACAAACAGATTTTGAGCCACCTTGAAATCTGGAAAGTATCTTATTGGCAATGGAAAATAGGCTGCCCATTCAGTGAAAGAATACCTGGATAGAAAAAAACACATTGGAATACAACAGTTTTGGATTGGCCTCCTCAGAGCCAGGCGTTATTGAAAGAATGTGGGATCATGGTGACAGAGACGTAACAATAGGCAGGAAGCAAAGCCTGCCTACTGGAAGCTGGGAAACTATTCTGCTCCGAGAAATTCTGAAGACTACTTAAAGGAATGACAAGAAACCTTGCCTAAGATTTCAGGCTGTGTTGAAAAATAAACATGGTCATACCAAGTATTAACTTTAAGCTAGTTAGAATTGTACAAACTCCAGTTTTTGCCTTATCTACTGCATTTCCATGTGTTTGCACTGCTAATTTCCCTTTTTTCTAGCTAAATGTAAAAAAATAAGGGGTGGCTCAAGACTTTTGCACAGTACTGTATGTTTGGAGCGGTTGTTCTCAAGTTAGTTGGCATGACTGAAAGCTCTGATTATGATGCTATCCCTGTCAGGCTCTCTGTCTCTTCCTCTTGGGAAGCTTTTATTGCACTCAAAGTTGCAGAGCGTTTTGTCATCAATGCATTTATTATTGTTTCATGTCGACTTTCTTTTGTGATAGCCAGTCTACATGCAGTGTGTGCAGATAGCTGGCCATGGTATCTGTAAGGTACTGAAACTGGAAGAACTGGATGCATATCAACTTTGTACTTTTCACCTGATCTGACTTGAAAAAATGGCAGTTTGTCAAAGTATGTGACCACTTCAATAATATAATGCTGAAACATTATTTAGGGTTTTAAGTAAGGTTACTTGTGATGTTTTTAAAATGTAAAAATAAAACAAAAACTTATTTTTAAAGATTTATATTAATAAAAGAAGGAGTGAATCAGTTGGGCAGTGAAGAGAGCAGACAGAGATGGACTGACTTCTTTCTTTTTGTGTTTGTTTGCTCATGACCTTGGCAGTCATGATACAAGCTAACACAGCTCAATTCAACTTGTCAGCTAAGCTTAACTAGCTTGCTTTGCACATTTTTCACTTAGCTGGACAAGAGCTAATATTTAGCCTTGAGGATATTGACTTCCTCCTGCCCTGCATACTTTAGCCTTTTGATTCCATAGCATACAAAGCATGGAAGCTGTGTTTTATTGACAGTTCAAACTTAACTAGTGCTAATCTTTAGATGATCTATCCAAACTCTTCCAGCTCATTGATCCTCATCCCACACTGGTCATGTAATGTTTAACAAATGAACATCAAAGTTCTCCTTTAATGCACATAACAGTATAAATAACAAATGCCAGTGAATCACATGAATGCTTTGTCACACAACAGAATTCAACCTTTATCTGGTGCATGAAAGCTTTTGCATTTGCTGTTTTAAACACTCGTTGTTAGCAGAGGTTTCTCAGGAAGTGATATGTCCTACATTTTTGCAGCACCAGCATGTTTTTTTTTCATGTTGAATGAATGGATGTATTAATAGAAAGCTAACCAACTAATGTAAGTAACAATAGCTGCCGCTGTAGAACAGACAAATAAAGAGCTCTGAACTCATTAATGTTTTGCTTTACAAATACAAAATATATAAAAAAAAAACACCACAATAAACAAACGAAAGTGAATTTCACAGATTGCCATTGTGAAATGTTTTCTGTCAAAGAAGCCCATTCATCTAAGAGCGGCACTGTGGATCTGTTATTAAAAAGACACATTTAAAACCTGCATTGTATCATCTGTACCGCTGTCGTCTCCTCCTTTTGTGCCGATCAAACAAACTGAAATCAGTAGCAGCAAACAGACAACTTGTACTGCACGAAGCCAACAAAACAATATAAGGCTTATGTAACACTGTAACATTTTTGTGTTCATATTATGTATTGCATCCCAAGATTTCATTGTCACATTGATTTACTCCCTTTTTTATTGTTTTCTCCTTCAGGCTGAGAAATCGAGAGCTGCAGAGCTGCGACATGTGAAAAGAGCTCACCCACTTGGCCTACTCACCTCTCAATCTTAGGTAAGTACTTTCTTCCATTTCTCTTTGTCTCCTTTTCTCTACCTTCACTTCTATCTTTGTGATGAACTCTTCTTTCCCTCTTTTGTCTCTGCTGGTGACATCTCAATGCTCAGACCAGAACTCAGTTGAGTTTTTCGCTGCTAAACTCACTCACACTCACGTTGGGACTGTGACCTGACAACCTCCTGCCTTGGGCATGCCTCAGGTAAAGTAGGAAAGCTACAGTGGCTCTCACCCATCACCTCTGAATTATCCTACTCCTTGCTTCGGTGTTGGATTTACTCTGTGTCTGTGTGTTTTACCTCCTTTCCAGCCGGGTATGAATGGGATGGAGCCTGCATTTGGCGAGGCCTATGGGGGGCACAGGGGTCTGATGAGCCCCTACCCTCTGGCCATGTCGCCACAGGGAGGCAGGACAGAGTACGACCAGGTAAGACAGCACAACATGGACAGAGCCAAAGCTCACGCAGCTTATAGTGTGACCTCGGGTAGACACTGTATAGTACACACAGATATATTAATAGCTGCCTAATTTGAGTTGGTGAGTCATTGTAGCAATTTAAATGATGTCATTAGTGATTGATCTATTAGTGGACAATACCGTGCTCTTACTTTGAAAGTATATCTTATTGGCTAGCTTGCTGGCTGTCAGTACAGTCACAGTTCAGCTGCTTCCCCAGAGAGGATTTCACCCTGATGTCAGATCCAGATCCAGCATCTGCACCTGGTGATACTACAGGAGGAGGAAACCTGGTTCATGTGTAGCGATGCTCAGCTCACTGAGGCTGCAGAACAGAATAAGCACTGTGATCACCAGCCTTTTTGTCTATAAAGTGAAAGACTTGCAGGAGCAGCAGCTGATTATAATGCTCAGTTATAAATTTGCCAACCTGCCAATAATCAATTCTTAATCTCTGGGAAAAAATGTGTTTGTCTTTAAGGACAACAAAATATGACCTGTTTTTTATTTGTAATGTAGATTTTTTTTTGCATGCATCTCTGATGATTGGATCGTGAACCATTTCCAATCCACTTGATCTTTAACCATTACAGCTTTCACTACACCGCACATTAGAGCTATTTCTCAGCTGTATTTAAACACGTGCTTTTATAAGAGCACGGGAAGAAGTCTGGAAAGACTTATCATTAAACAGATGCCCAGGTAAACTGTGCTTTTATGATAAAGCCTATATTATTAGGTTACATACAGCGATGAAGTCATCCTTCCGCTTCAGTGCTGTCACATAATCCTCCTCCTCTGTCTGTGTGTGCATTGATGCATTAAGCTGCTGCATGTCTCTTCTCTTTAATGTCCTATCATGCCTCTATTAGGAATATAATGAGAGCTCAGCAGCAGTAACCGCAGTGGCAGAAGGTCAGGTGGTCAGGCTATGGCAGAGTGGGAAATGTAATTGGGACACGAGACTGTTGTTTGTATTCTGTTTTTGGTTTCTGCTTGAAAAGCCATTAATCCTCTACCACTCTCAATCTTTTTGTATATATATACATCGCAAATACAGTTTATTTATTTATTCAGCAATGTTTAAACATCATGCCTCACATGAAAACAAGACCAAATTCTTCACGTGGCATCTCAGTTATCAACAGTCAGTGTATGTGGGCCAGGTGTGAAATAATCCTGACAGGATTACGGCACTGGGGGAGGGTGGGTAATTTTGATTAAGGTTTTTTTTCCCCCCACACAACTCAGTCTGACCTGTTTTAGTAGCACAAGTAGATTCACAATTTAAAATGCTAGTAAATGCTGTCATTTTACACCAAAATAATCTTTAAAATACTGAATGATTTAAAAGTTTGTTTATTTTTTTGTCACAGATCATATGTTTAATTGTCATTTATCTCTGTCCCCCTTTTAGAGTGTGCTCCTTATGCTGGGCTCCCCAGCATTGCCAAGGAAACGGCCCTTTGAGTTGCTAAGCGACCTGGTGGACGACGGAGGCTTTGGTGAAGACCTGCACCCAGAGCGCTGGGATGTGTCCGCGCTGGATGAGATGGCTCGTTACACCAAACTGGGCCTCGGGGTCGGAGGGGAGCTGCTGCCCTGCTCCGAGGAGGCTGTGCTGATGGGCTGCTGGGGGAGGAGTCGGGAAGAGCAGGAGGAAGAGGATGAGGAGGAGGAGAGGAGGAGGAACAGACACGCAGTCCCTCCTGGCACCCCGGAAGTCCAGAAAACTGCTTCAGGGAAGGAGGAAGAGGAGGAGGAAGGGTGTATCTCTGTTGCCCGGACAACAGAGCTGTGCGTTTCAGGAAGAGTGACTGAAGGTGGACAGGATGAGGGGGTGTCAAGGGAGCGGACGGTGGAGGTGTATCAGGTGGCCCAAGAGGAAGAGGAAGCAGCAGCAGCTGCAGTAGGACTGGCTCTGGAGCACTGCAGTGAGGAGCACAACTACTCCCTGAGCCAGGGAGGGGAGCTGGGGGCAGGACCTGCTCACAACTCCCAGACAGAGGAGGTGCAGGTGGTGGAGAATCAGCAGGAAGAGCAGGATAGGGAGGACAGCCAGGCCGAGACCGAACTGAAGTTGGAGGATGAGGATGAGGAGCAGGACGAAGACGAGGAAGAAGAGGAGGAAGAGGAAGGAATGGAGGAGACAGTGGTGGAAGCTGAAATTTCGAGCTCCTCGGAAACTGAATGTGGTGAGTTCTGGCTTCAGTGTGTGTGCGTGTGTGTGTGTGATGGCGAGGACATCTCGGCTCATCACAGCGCGGCCAGCAGCCTGTCTGCCCACACACAATCCATTTTGTTCTGCCTCCAGTCCAGACGAGACCTCAAACCGTCTCGTCTGACTTGGTTGGCTGAGCACAGGCACATGTGATACCAAATTTTGCGGGTGTAATTCCCAGACATCACACTGCTTCAGTGACTACAGTGTTACTGTTATAAAATGGCTTTGAGGGCTGAAGTGTCTTTGGGTATTGAAATACCATCTGTAACAGGCGCGCTGCTTTGTTTCTGGGATGGGGTGGGGGTTTAGCTGAGCACGTTAAATAGGGTATGAAAGTTGGTACAGATTGTTAAACAACCATTACAGAAGAACGGGATTTCTAAGCAGCTTCAAAAGCAACATAAACATGCCAGCTACAGACTGCAGCATTCAGCTGGTGGCTCATTAAAAACCATTTTTCTTGCCTCATTATTTCTTTACAGCCCACTTATCTCTCATTCACAAATATCAAAGGTACATAGTACGACTCAAAAGCAGACTTGATCAGTTAATTCTACAACTATTTTGGTAATTGCTTAACTGTAAAGATGCCAAACTATTACAGATTTTCTGCTTCTGTGTTTTATGTAATACAAATAGTAGAAATAGTCTTTGCTTTTCAGACTCTAAATGACAAAAGAAGAACTTTGAAGCTGTCACACGGGTTCTGTGAAATTTGACATTGTTTCATAGTAATGGATTTGTTGCTGTTGTCTTCAGGATGCACAGTTTGTGTGCTAAAAAGCATTCCTACAACGTGTTTCAATGACCAGGACTTTTTGTAATTACTGCTAAAGAAACATTTGTTTTCTATGGCGGATTGAAGTCTCCTGGTCATAGCACCTTTGGGTGCCAGTACTGAGTACCAGAGTTATCATAGATGTGAGCTTTCTAATGAAATATTTTCAGTATTTTTTTTTTAAATTTTCAATTCTAGTTTCAGTTAAACTCTGGCATGAGTTTACTGTTATTGTTGTTGTGTTTGGTTTAGCTTTCATTAGTTTCAGTGTCAGTTTTTGTCTTATTAATTATTGTTATATGAAAGCTATTTGTTTGGGACAGAATGTTGAAGTGTTACATTACAGACAGATAATATTTTGAAACTGATTTGAATTAGTTTGTGAGGACACTGTAATGTTTCTGGGGATGTTCAGGCATATTATTAATTATTAATAATTTTAATTATTAATTATTATTAATTTAATTAATTATTAAAGCAAATTATTTGCTAGTTGTTCATTCTGACAATAACGTTTACACTGAGCTCGCTTTAAGAGGATTGAGTTAAATATTGGCCTAACAAATATTTTGTTGTTATTATAGGAGCTGTATGAAATTTGTAATCACATTCCTCCTTAATCAAATGTTGTTGAAATGTGTGGCACTTTGAAATGTGTGTTTGCGCTCTGCGTGGTGCTGCAAACACACACTACGTCAGATTAGTTTGGCTAATTTTAGCAGTGTTAACAGCAGTAGCCTGACTTTCTTCCATGCTACTGTCCACATCGTGATACAAAATATGGTTATATGTAGCTTTGGTTGCTTGGATATATTCCACTTTATTCTGACAAAGCTGACATACAACTGCTCTGTTTTTTTAAACATCAAAGTAATGCAGAACAGAGCCGGCTAGCAAGCCTGTCATCTGTTTACTTTCACCCTCACTCATTTACAACTTCCTTTTTTTAACATAGATTTCCTACCTGTGTATAGAAAGTGTGCCACATAAATGCATACAGCTAGATAAAGTAGATGTGTGTACAGTAAGATAGTAAAATGGGTAGTAAAAAAATCTAATCTTAGCTCAGTGTGACTTTACTGTCTTTTCTGCACTTTCTCTTCTTCAGTGCACATGCACACCCTCTCTCTCACACACTCTCTCACAGACACAAACACACAATAGATAGGTGATGTGAACAAAATATTCAGTTTGAGCACAATCTGTTTAATTTTTGTAAATGCAATGAAAGTTTACCTGCAAGAGTTGAACCCAAAATAAGAGAGAGATAGAGTGAAGCCAGCAGGGAAAGTCATCAGCTTTTCACTCAGCTTTAAATAAGTTAAGAAAAGTTCCATCCATCCATCCATTCGCTTCCGCTTATCCTTTTCAGGGTCGAGGGGGGCGCTGGAGCCTATCCCAGCTGTCATAGGGCGAGAGGCGGGGTACACCCTGGACAGGTCGCCAGTCTGTCGCAGGACCAACACACAGGGACAGACAACCATTCGCACTCACATTCATTCGCACATTCACACCTAGTGACAATTTGGATTATCCAATTAAGTTAAGAAAAGTTATGAAATGAAATTTGCACTTAAACCACAAACTAACAAGCCTGACATTAAAAGCACCTGAACTGCTGCTGGTTGGTGTTAGCTTCTTTCATGCTGTGTTAATATGAAGAGTACACTGGTGCTGTAGAGCACAAAAGTGCCCACCCACTTTTGGAAGGTCTCCCATGAATTCATGAAGTGAATTGCCCTTTCATTTTTTCTATTGACATTTCAGACAATTCCTTTTTTAAAGGTAAAGGTACAAGATAGTGTACATAGATACTTTTAACAACAAAGGAGCTACTGATGCAACAATGCCATACAATTCCCAGAGTCTGCATTGCATGACTTCCAGCCTTCCCAGATTTACTCCTTTTCATTATTCCATTATTCCAGTATTGTACAATATCCATCCACCCCTCCATTTTCTTCAGCTTCATTGATTCAGGATCGTAGTTGGGCTGAACGCTATACCGGCTGTCGGTGAGTAAACCCTGGACGGGTCGCCAATGTAGCCGACATAGAGAGAGAGAGAGACTATTATTCACACTTACACTCACACCTACTGCCAATTTAGGCTCACCAGTTAACCCATGCATGTGGGAGGAGTCTTACATACCCCCAGGGCCAATGCAGGAAAGGTCTGTATGGCCTAGTTATGGTACAGTGCTTGGTTCCTGACTGTCTTCACTTTTAAGATTTCTGAAGTTTCATCCTTAATCTTGACACATTTCTATGGCAACCGTAACCTCCACCAGTCAGAGACGTCACTGCTTCAAGGTAGGGTTGTGGGTAGAGTAGTTATTTTCTGCAACATCATGAATGAAATTCTTTTTTTCTTTTCATATTTTTATATTAATATTAATATTTTTATATTTTATTTTTATTCGTTTTATATTCTTTTTAGAAAAAAACTATCACTAGGTCACTATCACTAGGTAAGTCAGCGGTACAAGCTGTTAATCAGCATCCCTATGGAGAATATGAATATGGTTTTTCACTTCTGGAACTTAAGTATTGGGGTCTTTATATCAATACAAGCTATATGTTGTTAAAATAAATACTGCCACCAGTTTGCTGCATGACTATGACTGAAATGGATGCAGTGTTGTTGAGTTTAATTTCTGCTGCATAAAACTGAGTAGAATCACTGTGAAAAATTTTAGAACAGCTTCAATATCATCACTGTTTATTGACTTGATGCTGTAAGGCTGTTATTTACTCTCCTGCTGACTGTTTTGATTAGATGAAAGTGAAAGAAAGTCAGCTTTTTAAATGTCACTCTGGTTTGCTCATAAAAAAAGGAGCTTTCATTGTATTTCAGAACTCAACTGAGTATCTCTTATGTAGATGTGGGGATGTTTATTCTGGAGGAAATTTGAAAAAAGCATGGAGGTCTTATTAGGTCAGCACAATATGAATCCTCCCTCCCATATTTGCAACATGTCAGTGTGAGTTTTAGGGCAGCAGTTACCACTGAGACCTCGGTGATATTTTCAATAGGAAATTGCTATATCGCAATTCTGATCACTTTCAGCGATAAACACAGCTGTGATTTTTTTTTTTCATTCTTGCTACTGCACAAAAAGATCTGGTGCCATGACTTTTAAAATCCTGCTTACAATCCAGACACTAAATACCATCAATTGGATTTTCAAAACTAAACAGATGGAAAATTGTTGGGCTCATTCATGGATTGTATGTGCAAAAACAGTGCAAAAAATGAATTCTTGGATTGGCCACAACAAGCAGTCAGTTGTTGCCTGAGTCATGGCTTGCTACATAAAGGCTGATAGAAAGTGTGCTCTGATTCGCATTTCTTTGTCTTTGGCTTCTGAACACTTGTCTATGACGTGTTGCTGCTCTGGAGAAATTTACAGATAGCTTGCTAAAGGTTTTTGTGTTAACAGGTAAAAGATCAGGTTACATTGACATTACAGGGAAGCAAAGGATGCAGAGGTTTAGAGTTGAAAGACTTTGTTTTGTGATAACTAACATTCAAACTAACAGGACTAAACTGGAGGTTTCTAGGCAGCAGTAAAATGTTGTAGTGTAACAATTAGGTACATTGTAGTGGCCTAATCCCTCAGTAATAAACAGATGAAGTCACTGTTTGCTGAGAGCACAGAACATCATCAGAACCCTTTAATGTGAGATGAGTTGTTATTCCCAAACTACAAGCCATGAAACATAAGCATGTATGTTGATAACACCTATGTAAACTGACTTCCATTCAGATTAGCATCTTTTCCCAGGCCTTTTCTGCCTCTAATCGGCTTTGCGTTAGATAAACAAATCTTAGGCTTCTCGTTGCAAGGTAATAGAGAGGTCGGTGGCTCGCTCTCAAAGAGCGAGGTCCAGCTCGTGTTTCAGCTGTCGCAAGACACAATTGTTGGTCCTTTGTTCCTGTGGTGTGTGTTTGTGTGTGTTTGTCCTGTTGAGCTTTTATTACCATTAGCCCACAGCGATGGCAACGGTATAAATGACGGATTGTAAAAATGTGATGTGTACTCGCTAAAATTGATGATGGTTGAGTGAGTTTAGGAAACCAGACAAAAGGCTGAGAAACAGAAAACCATGGAGCAAAAGATCGAATTGAAGGGGGAGCGCAGACAATGGCGTTATCTGCAGACAGGACCAGACACCATGATGTTACATAAGCTGTCTGTGTCTGTGTGTGTGTCTGTGTGTGTGTGTGTGTGTGGACTGTCCACTCATGAATAAAAGCAAGGGCAGGACTTCACAGTTATCAAGTTCAAATCTGATTTAATCACAGCAGAAACGACTGTGTTCACTGTGACAGCGTCTTCTTTCTGTTTTGGACGTCTGTGCAGCGGGTTCGAAGAAGAGCTTCTTCTCTCCTCCTGCTGGTGGAGCTTTGCACGCTGTATTATTTATGACGCCATTATTCGTGGGTCTGCATGCCTGAGGCTAATCTTCTGTGACGTCTTTGTGTGAAACGGCATACGTGCTGGTGGCTTTGTCATGAGGACATACAGCATGTGTTTTTTGGATTGGGGCTCACAGCATGATCTCATAGCGACCAAACATAAACACGAATAGCTGTCAGTTATGATTGGGTTGCATTCGTCATTTCACTTGCTGGGTATTTCTCTTCTAATAAATATTGCATATGTGGCTGTCAGCGTTGTCCACCTCCAAGATTCACTTTCCTCCGGAGCAGTGTGGCCTGGAGCATCAATGCTGGATTTGGATTATCTCGTCAAGCGATTCTGTTGCAACATTTTAACCAGATTACGTTCAATAAATGTTATTTGTATGCTTAAAAAATAATGAAGATTTAATTTTCTCATTGCTATTTTTATCAGATTCTTCCAGCCATTCTGAAGAGCCACGAAAATATTTTCTAATGTGAACTATGGCTTGTGGAGCCGGTGTTGTAGCTGTAGGTTTCTATGACGCTTTACATTTCTGGCATCCTGAACGATTGAATTGAGTAGAGGGTATTTTATCACTGCAGTTTCATATTCATAAGTTAAACACTGCAGCTGTTCTGTGATCACTCAGAGAGTCAGAAGCAACACAATTGCTCTCACACAAAGCGCACGCTCTGCCTGGGTTGTGCTGAATGGTGTTGAGTAAGTATGCCTCACTCTGAGCTCGAGCTCCAGCAGATTATTTTATCTAACTGCTAACCCCTAAATCTTATGACAAAGTAACAGTGTTTTCAACAGTGAGGTGAACTGAAGCATGATTATTACTGCTGCTGTGGGGAAAAAATACACGCAACCTGTAATTACCTTGAACAAAGAACCGCAATGAAAGGGTTGTCTAATGTCATTATTCGGACATCATCTGACACAACGCACAGGTTAAATGTTGATGCATCGCTGAGAGAGAACGGTAGAAGCAACAGTAGGTCTGGCACTTAGCGCTCGGTGCTCAGGCTCTGTGGGGATACAGCTGCTGCGCAGAGAGAGCTGCAGGAATGAGCGAGAACTGTGCTGTTCTTAAATATTTTCCCTAGTTGTAGCTCACCAGAGCGGTGTGAAAGTGTGCACCTTTTCCCGACAAAGAGCCTGATTATCACGTTTGAGATGAACTAAAGCTCATACACTCACTTGCCAATTTATTAGGTGCACGTAACCCTAACAGGTTTCCCTTTCCCTGCCTTCTGCCTGGCACAGATTCTACATTCCTCAGAGATTTTGCTCCCTATTGACATGACACACTGTCACACAGTTGCTTCAGATTTAAGGGCAGCACGTGATGTGAATCTCCCGTTTCACCATGTCCCAAAGGTGCTCTACTGGATTGACTGGCATCTGGAGGCCATTTGAGTACAGTGAACTCATTGTCACATTCAAGAAACCAGTTTGAGATGATTTGAGCGACATTGCACCTTATCCTACTGAAAGCAGCCATTAAAAGTTGTCAGGAGCAATACTCGGGTGGGCTGTGGTGTTTAAGGATGATCGGTTGGTGCTCAGAGGTCTGAAGTGTGCCAGGAAAATACCCCCCACAGCACCACTGACCTGAACCGCTGACACAAAGCAACATGGGTCCATGCTTTCATGCTGTTTATGCCAAGTTCTGACCCTACGAATCTGAATGGTACAACAGAAATCGGGACTCATCAGACCAGGCAACGATTTTTCAGTTTTCTGTTGTTGACACGTGTGATCTTCTGCTGCCGTAGTCTGTCCGCTTCCAGGTTTGGCCTGTTGTGTTTTCAGAGATGCTCTTCTGGATATCTTGGTTGTAACAAGTGATTATTTAACTTACTCTTGTCTTCCTATCAGCTCAAAGCAGTCGCATCATTCTCCTCTGACCTCTTGGATCAACAAAGCATTTTGGTCCAGTGAACTGTTGCTAACTGGATCATTTCTGTTTGTCTAACCATTCTCTGTAAACTTTAGAGGTGATTGTGAAATACTCAGACCAGTCCACCTGGCACCCACAACCATGACACGCAAAGACACTTTTCTTCATCGGTTTGAACTTCAACATCTCGTCTTGACGATGTCTGGCTAATTAGATATTTAGATTAATGAGCAGCTGAACAGTAATCAGTGCTTCCTCCCTTCTATCCTTGTACTGTTAAAATTCTAAGTGATAAAAATTACAAACATTTATGAAAATGCAGGAACCAAAACGATTACTCCAGAGTATTTCTGCTGTGCTTCAAAGTAATGATACCCACTATTCTAGAAAATATAAGCTGTATTATCATGACCCTGTCAGTGTTTAAATAAACTCTTTTTGATGGTTCAGCAGTTGTGCCACTTGTATTTGTACTTACATGTAATTTAGTGCAATGGTATCCAGCCAGAAGATAAGATGTCACAAGATAAAAAGAAACAGAGCAAAAGAGAAACTTGCATTTTATACAGAGCTGACAGGGAAGCCTTGTCAGGACAAAAAGGATTATAGGAAATAATTTCCACCCACTCACATGTCTGTTTGGATGCAGCACCAGGGGGAATTCAAGAAACCGACAAGATGGCTTCCGATCTTTCTGGAGATATAAGTTTTATGAAACACTTTCTTCTTGGCTGCTTTCCTTACTCACTGATTCTTTTCATCAAATATTTTGTTCTTGTGTCTATTCTCTGTCACTTAGTTTGTTTGTTGTTTTAACAGGCAAGCAAGTTGCTTGAAGAACTGCAAGGTTTTTCCCACATGAGTGCCTAAATCTTTGCATATTTGTCCTTCTAGAGGTGGAAGCAGAGCCAGCCAGGCAGCTGGGCGAGCGACCGTCGAAGCGTCGCTGTTTCTGGGAGTACAGACGTGCTCGGGAGTCAGCCACAAAGAAGAAACTTGGCGGTGACGTCCACTGGTCTCTGTCCTGGAGCTCCAGCACTCTTCCCAGCACGCTGTACCGCCGAGAGGGTGAGAATACAGCATTACTGCGTGATGCTAGTGAATGCTATTTAATGCTGATTGTTTCATACAAAAAATAAATAAATAAAAAAGTCAGAAAAGTTACTAGATTATTAAGTGAAACTGGTTGTTTCTCTGGGGAAGACATTTTTGGAGTGCCGATGACCTAATTATTAAAAAAGATAATTGTCAGATTGATAAGTTAAACCCTAATCAAAGGGCTGGATTGAAGGTTTAGCAGCAGGAGTCATTAACCCAACGTGCACGCTGCAGTTGGGATCGTCCCATTTCCTTTTTCTCCCGTGACACAGATCAGACCTGCACCCTCAGGCGTGTGCCCTACATACAACTTGCATGTCAAAATGTGGATTTTTTCAACATTCCCATCGTACGCGAATCTCACGTCAGGCTCAACAATAGCTTTGCTGCAGTGCTGCAGCCCATGTCGTGCTGTACAAACCAGAATGGCAGTCCTTTAAACTTAGTCCAGTCAAACCACTCAAACAAGAGTCAGCACTGATAACAGTTTACGTGTTGTGTAAATACTCCGTAAATCTATCAAACTATTGGGGTGGATGCTTATTTTAAATCATGTCATTCATTGTACAGTAATTTCTATGTGACATCTCTATGATAGTTCTGTATCATGTCATATACCTCTAATGTAGTCATTTCAGGGGGGAAACAATAGCTCTTGTAGCAAGCTCAGATGATCTACCCACACCATTTGCAAATCTTCTATTTTAAGGGGCTAGCAATTAGTAGAAAGTTGGTTTAAATAGCAATTTAGCAAAGTGCCTTGGGTGCCTAATGTTTATTTCAAACTTTAATCATGCAAAGCTGCTCTAGAAGAGTCCAGTACTAAAAATATAGAGCTGCAAACCATAATACCTCCAAATGAAAGCAGATATTAAAACAAATAGATGCCTTGCCTTGTACCACTGGGAGATTTGGCATCCTGACATTTTTAAGGCCAGGTTTGGTAGAGCTCCACTGTTTTTACCTGACCGGACACGTATGGAGTTCATTTTGTTGTCGTTAATTCAGGCAAAAAGGGGCGACGCAAAGCCCGGAAAACAGATGCCAGCGACCTGACGCCGAACCCTCAGAAGCTCCACAACATCGGGGAGCAGCTGCAGAAGCTCAACGCAGCGATCGATGGCATGGGTCCGGTCAACGACCTGCCCGCTGTGGCCCGAGCCCGTTCACGCAAGGAGAAGAACAAGCTGGCCTCCAGGTACAGCTTGCTCTTTACTGCCCTCCTACATCCTCTGCACTAAGTGAGAACACTGGAAATGCTCTGTATTGATTTATGAGGCCTGAGTGGGAATTTTTAGAGGGTTTCAGCTTTTGTAATTTGTTGGCAGAAAAGAGAAGCCTGCGGGGCTCTGTGGTCTAGTATCTGCAGTCTTTAGCCCTGTCAAGATTGGTTTTCAAATATGTGCAGCATTTAATAGTTGACCTTCTAAATTCGGGTGGTGGAGGACATGGACGGTGAAGAACACATGGAGACGTGATATCTGTGTGGATTTTAGACCATCAGTTGCATTCATGTGATGGAAAATAAAAGGATCTTGGGAAATGGGTCGTGTTTTTGCTGATTTGAATTTTTCCTTTGATGATGCTGTCATGTCGTTGAACTCTGCAGATCAGCAAGCCTTAAAAGAAACTACCATTTGTAAAATCTCAAACGGGCTTTAATTTACTTAAAATATGTCCCTCAGAATAACACACACACACAACACTGAAGGTCGAAAAGCTTGGTCTTCAGTGTATTTTTGCATTGCCTGTTTCTTTGTAACAAACTTACCTTGAATATTATCTTGACAGAATAAGTGAAGGAAGGACGGAGGGAAGCAGAGGAAAAAACAAGAGAGGCGGGGAGATGGAGGGGAGCAGGATGAAAAGCTGAATACAAGGAAATCAGGCAGGATTGAAGAGGCAGACGAGGAGTAGAGGGAAAGATGGGTCATATAAAGTTCATCTTTGCAGGGAGGGAGGGGGAGATTTCAGAATTCAGGACATTATTGCAGGAGCCTGGGAATATCTTGTAATTCAAAACATACATTAAACACGACGCAAACATGTCATCTAATAGAAAGTTTGGCAAGGACTTACAGAAATAAAGCTGAAAAAGAGACTGAAGGGGAGGGGAGTGAGGGAAATTTAACGTCAGAGGAAGTGTGACTGCAGAGTTTTTGTTTAGTATGCAGGAATCTCATGTGAAGATTCACTTCTTTTACTCTGTCATAGCTGTGGCTGCGTGAGTCCAGGTTGGGGTTAGTAGTTGGATTAGCCTGACCGCCTTCAGACCTTCCTTCTCATTCTTTTCCCTGCTCATGTCTGAAATAACCTGCCTGGGGCATTCAGGCGGCACAAAGGAAAAACACTGGGCTGGTTCTTAGCCCTCGCCCAGTTTGGCACAACATTCCAGCCAACACGCTTAGCAATGATAACTGTCCCGGATGCTAACTTACTAACTAGACTCAGCAGGAATACACCATCATTTGGGAAAGTATTGTTTAGCTTCTTCAGTGGTTTCATGGTGTAGTGATTTTGACCAGTTAGAAACCAGAGGAGACACAAATCCATACATCCGCTGAAGTAAGCTCTTTCAAGTAATGAACCAACAAAAAGAAGCTTTATAGCTAACTTCTTCATAATAGACCTATATCACTGCTTTTTTTTTCTTTCTTTCTTTTTAAATAATTTTATTTGTATTTTATCAAAGTCCCTCCAGAAGCCTCTCCACTGTTCTGAATAGTAAATCTGGCTGCTCTTATCTAAATACATGTAAAAAAAGAAAAAGGTGTAACGTCTATTTTAGTGGTGTTTTGGGCATATGAAGTGCATCTATAGGATCACCGGTTAAATTGGATTAAATAACAGCAAAATAAATGAAAACTTAAACATTGTTGCCATCTTTGCCAAAAAATAAGATATAAATAGCATTTTTACAGACTAGAAAAATACACAAATATTCACACCAAAAAAAAGGTGAGTGGTAGGTGTTGTATGAACACGAGCAAAAGAAAAGCTCTGGCTCATTCCACCAGAGCACTGAGCAAACATTAAGCTAAGTCATGTTGTAGGTAGAGAAAGCTAAAAATAAAATCATACTAGAACTTACCATCATCTTCTCTGCTACTATCTTATTATTATACTGTAACTGTATTTGCTTGCCACTACACAATTGAATGTGAGTGAATTTAATTGAGTTGAATGCAGTTTTATTTGTATAACACCGAATCACGACAGCAGACACCCCCCCCCCTCCCATGAGCATGCACAGACTTGGGGAAGGTGGGAAGGAAATACTCCTTTTTAAACTTCAGTATGTAATTGGATCGTTGGAAGCAGGGACAGGACAACCTCCATCATACACTGTTAAAAGGTTTTGGGGGGGGTTTGCTATGCATTTCCTGTTATAATAATTTGTTTCACCTAGCTTGCAAGCTAATGTGAAGTTTGAACCTTTGGCCATCAAGTTTATATGAATTAGCTTAAGTTCGGCTGTGTTCAGGAATATAGGACTTGGTGACACCAGAAATAATAGCAGCAGAATTTCAGGCTGAAGTCCAAGAACTACTTTGGATTTGACACAGTCTGTAGATTTACCCACAGAAGCAAAGTAAATCTTGCAATCTTTGCAACTTTGGCAATCTTTGACATTACAAATGCTGCTCAGTACTCATGTTAAGAAGGTTAATAATCATGTTTCACAGGATGCATAAATTCAGTGCAGAGAATAGCCAACCGTCATCAGATATCATCAGATTGTAGATTTCCTGCCTGATGCATTGTCCACAACACCCTATTGTGGCTGACCACAGGTTGGCATACACTTCCAGGTTTCTTAAACACAACCATTTGCAGCCCTTTTCCAAACACATGCATGAACCAGAAGCTTTCAACTTGGTGAACACTTTTCCTACCTTCAGGCAGCGACTGATTTTCATTCAGTACATTACTTAAATCAATTTGCAGCTGTAGGTAATCCATCACAATAAACAGCAAGATCTCTCAAGGACTATTTTTGGATTTGCATTAAGAACAGAAACTCTATATCTCTATAATCACATTTCCAAATGTAAAAACCTGTGGTGCATATTGGAACCTGCTCAGTACTTGGTTAAGTCCCATCCCCGCAGTGATTAGGAACATTTAAATTGTTGTACTGTCGTCCACATCCTCCTCAAACCATCAGGGACTGTGGTACAAAAAAGAAAAACCTGGCAAGGCTCAAGTCAACATGTGGAGAAACACTGAGGAAATATTCTATCCAGCGCTACTGACCTGCAAGTATTTTCTTTCCCTAAGTTTCATTTAGCTCTCTCATAGCTGCATGAAAAGAGAAATTCTCTCCACATTGCAGAAAATAGTCCCCATGAGAGGCATTAATATTTGACACGCATTGATTGTTTTATTCTCAGATCCCTTTTTTCCAACACTCTCAAACCAGAACTGGATTTGCCCTTTTGTGGTGTCAAATGGTCCTTCAGAGGGGTTAAAGAGGTTTTCAATCTTCCTCATGGTTTGGAAATACGGTCAGCGTGAGCCAGCTGACTCAGTAACGGGGTCATGTGGAGAATGGGAATGCTCGCACAAAGTCTAAAGAATGACAGTGTTTTATTTTCCTCTGTTTTCAGGGCCTGCCGGCTGAAAAAGAAGGCCCAGCACGAAGCCAACAAGATCAAGCTGTGGGGGCTCAATCAGGAATATGGTCAGTACTCAGGAAATCACTGGGTATTCTTTAGCAGGGGGTTTCAGATGCCTGACACTTCTGACTGTTCCCTGAACATATAGTCAAAATAGTCATTAAACTCTATACATGCTCTTCTTATAAATGATTGCATCTAGATTTTTATTTTATGTTTATTTTTATATTTCTCTCTTTTTCAAATGGGTGACCCTTCTTGCTGTGGGTGGCTAACAATAATGATATCTGCTTTTTCTTGTGATACAGTCACCTATACAGCAGCACCAAATATCAGCATTATAGTCTAAACATTTAGTCAGTTCCCATCAACCTTTTGGCTTCTCCCAGTAGTGACGGTGTTCAAATAAATTAGAGTAAAGTGAAGTTAAATGGAGGAGAGCAAGAAAATGCAAATCAGCTGCTAATTAATTAAACTGCTGCATTCATTAAAAACCAAAACTCTATCCTGGAGGTTTCTACAAAACCAGTGAGTGGTGTCACATGGGTGTGTCCATCTTTTATATACAGTGTGTGGTCCCACATCTAGTCCTAACTGCTTCAACGTGTGTGTTCAGAAATCTTCTTCTACTGTTCAAGTCAAGTCAAGTCAAGTATTTATTTATTTGTTTGAGTTAGTGTTGCTTCCTCATCAGCTTGCACTAGTCTTGCTTCTCTTCCTTAACCTTTTCTATCAAATAGAAGATAATCTTGGCCTCCTCTATCAGTTGTGTGTGAAAATCTAAGTAGATGAGCAGTTTCTGAGACAAGTTTGTCTCGCACCACAGCTATGTTTAGTTCAAAGACACATAAATCAATTTTCCGTCCCTTGCTCGGTTTGCAGTTTAGGAGTTCGTCTTGATCATGTCGACATGCTTAAATGCTCTGAATTCCTGCCAGGTGATTGGTTGATCAGATCTTTGAATTGTTGAGCCGTTAAACGGGTGAAGCAGTTTTGTATGTACAAAACTTCTAAACATTGTGAGTCTTTTTTCACTTCACGTGAGTTGACTTTAGTAGAGGAAAGAAGTGGGAGAACTGGCTCTGTGGGACAGACTGTTCTAACACTATATATGAGATGGAAGAGCCTTACAATTTAAATTGATAGATGATTGAATGAGTTAATTTATTATACCCAGCGTCAGTTAATGAGAGTAAAACCACATCAGAGGCTGCAGCGTGGCAAAGTGGACATTTTCCTTACTAATGAAATTTAAATCAAGCTAAATTAGTGAGAAACCATCTTTTCAAATAACACTGAAGATGCTCTGTTTAAGAAAACAGGTTAATGCAGAGAACTGATAGTAACAAGACCACGAGGAGCAGGGAAACCCTTGGAAGTGCGACTTCACCTCGCTCCTGATAATCAACACCTCGACTCTGCCAAATCTATCAGCCCAGTTCTGCCCACCTACTCCTCCTCCTCCTCCTCGTCCTACTCTTCGTGCTCCTCGTCTGGTTTTCTATCGATCTCTGTGAATTCCAACCTCACTAGCATCAACTTTCTTTGTCCATTTCTCCTTGATTTTCTCTGAACGTTTCAGTCTTTCCTGATTTTGGCCCAGCATTTGCTCGCAAAGATTTTAGTTGTGGCTTCTGCTTTTGTGATTTTTTGCCTTCTGACTGGCCCAAATACAGAACTTAACCTCACAGATTTCCTTCCTTCCGTTTTTCCTCCTCTGCTCCTGTGTCATTTGTTTTTCTCTTCCATTCACTCGCTTTATATCGCTGCCGTTTGCATCTATACAAAACACACTTTTGCATACTTAGCCGCAGATTCAACAGGAAACTTCAAACAAAGAGCACTTTGGTACCATGCCAGTGCTGTGTGAAGCCTCCGGACCTGCTTTGTGTGAATGTGTGCGTGTGTGTGTGTGTGTGTGTGTGTGTGTGTTACAGAGACTTGGGGAGCAGCTGGTCAGACCCACTGTGGTCCTTCGCCCACACACGCACTCCCTGCTGATATGAGCCCTGGACAAAAGAGAAATCACATCAAGGCGAGAATAATGTACACAGACAGAAGGGGTGTCATGGCACCACTGGGTCACATGACCTGACAGGGGAGGAGCCACTAGCATAGGAGGTGCCGATGATTCACAGCACTACTATCTGAGCTAAACTAAACAGTTTCTGTTTTATAAGCAAACAAAAACACAGATGTTTGTGGAAAATTTTCAAACACTGGAAAGAAGCGGGGCTTACATAAATATACCATTATAATGTTAATATAATAATTCACTCTTAAACCACTTTTGCTAATTATAGATGTAAAACAATCCATTTATTTTTAAATTAAAAACTAAGATTACCTCTTCTATTAATCACATGCCCACCCACTGGCTGGGCTTGCTGCTTACCATCCGCAAACCTCTCCAAGTATAATATTAATAATAAGAAAATACTTTTTATTAAACGTACATTTTCCAAGCCAATTTCAACCCTACATTTTCTGCTTTCCCGTGGGCCCAACCAGCTGCTTCTCTGTGCCACATGTTGTAGCAACCCATCTGCTATTATCTCACAGACCCAAGAAGGATTCCTTTAACAAAAAGCGTGTTTCTTGACTCCAGATGCTTCATATTACTAGTCAGTATCTGTTAGCCACTGAGCAGCTCCACTTGGACAGTTAGGAGTTGAAGATCGAGGGTTGAGTCACAAACTCACTCATCTGACCTTTTGGGCACCACTTTCACTCCTTTAGTTTCAGCTTGATGTTTACTTTCCCTTTCTTTTTCTCTCTGCTTTCTCTTCTGCTTTCTGAAAATAAACATCTGCTTCGTACCGCTGAGGGGAGTTCTGCGAGAGCAGCTTTGCATGATTGGCAGTTCAAAATAGTTCTTATTTATCTCACAGCCTTTCTGTAGCCCCTTCAATTCACCCTATCTCTAAAACAAGCTGTTTCAGCTGCTCTCTCTTTGAGCCAATTTACTCCCGATTAGCCATCCCTTGCAAACAGAAGGTCAGTATGTTTGACAGCCCTGCACTAAACACTGTAATTTGTCTCATGTAGGCGACTAAAAATGCACGCCTTTGGATTCTGTGGAACTCCACAGCCCTGAATGATATCAGTTATTCTCCCTCGACTTTCAGAAACAGAATTCGACCCCTGGAAACGCTTTCCTGACTCACACTGCTGTTTTTTCCTCTTTTTGCTGCATAGAAAACCTGTTGGGAGCTCTGCTACGGATTAAGGAAGTGATCAGGCGGCGAGTGGAGAGCAGCGAGGAGGAGGACACGGACGAACGAGGGATGACCCAACGGCTCGAAGACATCCTCAGAGAGTCGAGTGGTGAGAAACAGACTAACATTACAGATATGTAATAAGCAGTTTGGATATTTCGTGCTATAAAAACAGGTTTGATTTTGCTTGCGACTTGTCCTTTTCTTTCCATCGCACCTCCTAATTTATCTCCATGGCTACCTCAGGTCCCTTAGTTGCTGGGCGGACCAAAGACTTTGTGCAGAGGATTTTGGCAGCCAGCGCAGGCGGTCAGAACCAACGCAAAGAGCCCCCACAGGACGGGGATGAGGCATCGGGGTAAAACCCCAAAACAGCAGTCCCTTTTCTCTCCGTACCCTCTTCTTCCAACCCCGCCCTCCCAGCACCACCAACTTGTCGAGACCAAGCTCCTCTACACCTCTTCTGCTCTCACGTCGTACACATTTAAGCAAAGAGACGGCAAAGTGGAGAGGCTGGGAACCAAGAGGAGGTGAGGAAGAAGAGGAAGGAGTAGCCTAAACAAAGCGATAGTAAATTGCTACCTTGCTCCTGGTCCTCTCCTGTTGGTCCTCCAAGCAGCAGCCGTCTTCACCGCTCTGTCTCTGCAGGCTGCACCACAACCACCAACAGGCCAGAGCTGCTGCTGCTGCTGCTGCTGCTGATGTCTCTGTATTCTGTGTTCTCTGTGTGCGTGCATAAGTGTGTGCGTGTAACATACTGTATGAGCGTGTATAGTGTTCCTCTCTCCCTCTCTGTGCTGTATTTGTACCCCATTGTGCCTATGAATAGACATTGCACTGTTTTGTAGATGGTCGTAGTTGTTGTCAGGGGGCCGTTAGTGAGCCGAGGGTGAGGGGGCATTTGAGGATAAGAGGAAGTTCTAAAAATAAGGAAGTGGGAGGAGCCCAGGCACGGGAAACAAAGAAGAGGGTGTGTTTGTTTTGGTTTGGGGTTTTTTTTGTTGTTGTTTTTTGTTTGGCTGGGCTCCTATAGAAGCTCTACATACCATTTGAATTGCACCAGCATCTGAAATGAGACCCAATGCCAGACCAGTCAATGGTAACTGATTGAAAAGTCCTCGGAGCTTTAATAGTCACCCATCCCTCTCTGACACCCCCGTCACCCCATCAAAATGTAAGCAGAGATCAAAAGAAAAAAAACTGCACCTTAATTTAAACTGACCAAAGATAAGTGATACTGCTGAACTACTCTGACACCTCTCACCACTTCAGATGCTGCCAGCCATTAACACACCATCCTGTCCTGCTGAGAGAGGGGTGAAGTGACTGATACACTTTTAATTCTTGTCCTATTTACCTGCATGCATCATTCAAAGATGGGCATCACCTGATAGACTTAGATCCTTTTCATGTAAATGCACTACCGTCACGGACCCGAGAGGCCGTGGTGTGGCAGACGGGACTTGACCAAACGCCTTGTCGATTGGTTGGCCGTCTAGCTCTGCAGCCTGGTGCTCCTTTAGCTGATCTGTGGTGGATTTATTTTTTATCCCAAAAAAGGGAAGTGTCCTCGATGCCTGCCCCAAGCCCTCTCCTCAACCCCCTGACCTGATTATGTAGCGCAATTTCCTGACTTGCAATGACAAATAGAGAAAAAAAAAAAACACACACACACACTTGTAGAGCTAGAAAGCAAATAATTTGTTTTTGTTGATTTGATTTTGTTGTTATTTGATGATGCCACAGCCCACAAAGTGGGCGTCAGTTTTGAGAGAGAAAAATCTGCCTTTTTATTTTCTGTTTTTCTTTATTTTTCTGTGGTCTCTGCTAAAGCTGGAGACCAACCTGTCCACACTCTGTAAATGTTGTTGGACGCTAAAAAAATTAATTAAGACCTTTGAATTGCACTGTGGTAAGAGCAACAAAGCACCTTTGAAGAGGGCTTCAAATCCTCCAAAAGAGAGAGGAAAAAAAAGACTCTTGGCACCTTTTTCTAAAGACAGATATTGATTGAGAGACTTGAGGGCACCAAGCGCTTTGCGACCAACTGCTGGTTTGGGCTTGTTTCAGTATGGTGCTACTATATGATGACAGAAAAGTCATGCAAACACATTTGGAGGCATGAGGCAGTAACTGCTGACTGGGTTTTGGCCTGCAAGGACGTACTGTTGTAATAGGCGGTTTGTTTGCATAATGACGCCTTTCTCAAGTGCCTGGAGCTTAAAGCCACAGGGACCTGTGTTATTAAAACCTATTACAAGGTAAAACTTAACTCGTGACTGCTGCGCCAAGCTTGGCATCACTTGACTTTACTTAGAAGAAGAAGAAGGAAAAAAATGCAGGCTCATCTGGGGTCACCAAAAAAAAAAAGGTGAAGCAGAATGTTTTCCTTTTAAATTAAGTCTATACATGGAAACCTACATTGTTTTCACGTATATGTTGAAATCTATTTGTGGAAACAATAGTGGGCACTGGTTTCTGTGAACATCATATCTGGGAAATATACATAGGGGAGCGGCTGTTCTCGGAGCAATTCCCTTTTGTTTTTTAACCTTGACAAGCTCCCATCTGGGCTGCATTCCAAAGCTGCTGTTCTACACACTGCCCCCTTTCTATGGAAAAAAAATTGGAAAAACAAGACATTTCCTGTCTCATTCAGGAACGGAGCGGTTCAACTTAAACTCTTCACGTCGTGGATGTCTTGCTTGTTGTCATTTTTTTTAGAAGAGTGAGGGGCAGCTTAGCGTCGCTCCTGCTTTTAGTTTTCTGCTCTGTTCTGGGAAATGTTGCTCATGGTTGTATAAAGCTGTACTGTAAACAGAGGATTCCTGTCGCTCAGCTGGAATGGCCTTCCTTGCTGGGGAACAGAGCGTCGAGGCTCTGGTGCCAAAGACGGTCTGAGAATGAAAAGATACCCGATTCAGCTCTAATGTCAATGAGGCGTCCTCAACGTTACCACAGAAACCCGCTCAGGCTTTCATGTGATCATCCGTGAAGAGACGCGTGATCTCTGGGAAGGTCACTGAGTGTAGCTAATGGTGTGCACTTCTACACCCATAACCCCCCCCCCACCCCCCAAAACTCACACTTTCTCCCGGGGGGCTGGGAAGCTGCTGATGCTGCCAGCAGAGTCACGGGATCGTGCGCTGGCAGCAGCTCGTGCAACAACAACAGAAAACATGAGGAAAGAGCAGAGAAACAACTGTGCAGATCGCCGAGCTTTAAAACGCTCTCACACCCATCTGTCACGTCAGAGGAGGAGGATGAGGTCTTTGTGTTTAAAGACTACACAAGTTTGTACAGATATTTTCCTTCGTTCAGATCGCTGTTACATAACACAGCGCACCATCTGCTGTGTACATTCATCTATATGCCAAAAACTGCAAACAGTTGTAACACGGTGAATTCCTGCCTCTGATCCAAACAGAAAAACAGCCGGTTTTACACAAGCGGTGCGCTCATCTAAGAGCCTTAACTGATGCTGTAGCTTGTTGTATTGTAGAATATCCCTTTAACTGTAAAGCTTTAATAGGGAGTGGCCGGTCTTGGCAAGGCCACTTGTTTCTGTTTCTCACATTCCTGATTCAGTTCCTCTGTAGTGTTTCTCTTTGTGTGCACCTGGAAGGAGGAGAGAGAGAAAAGTGAACTGACCCAAAGATGTCAGTCGTGTGGTCACTGTTCACTTTTTCACGGTCAGAACAGGCCGAGCCCGGCCCAGGCTCAGCCGCGGATCTGCTGGGGTTTAACAAACAGCCCAGAACAAACAGTCTCAGCTTACAATTTTGTCCACATCCGACCTAATATAGACAATGACTCTGCAGAAACTGGACGATTCTTATCTGACTGGCTTCCTCGTCGGGTGTCACCATCTGCCAGACGCAGAGAGAAGTAAACAATTGTGAAACTTGCCTGTTGCTCATGTGCACGTGGGCTTTTTCTGAGAAAGTTCTGGAGAAAGGGGGAAGACGTTGAGTGCTCAGCAGTTTAGGGAATGGTGACAGTTGAAAGTAAGGAGCTTCTGCATATGTGGTATACAGAGAGGACACACATCTGAGGCTGTTAATGATTGCTACCAGTGTGGAAATTCCCACTGAAAACGTTACAGGGAGGTTTTAATCTTTTCATCCATTTATCTCAGCAGACTAAGTTTCACGTTTCAAAGCACGTTTCAAAGCAGTATCGTTGACTGTTGACATTTTAAACGTTAGAGGTGCATTAAATGCTGGCACGGAAGTATGGATACGAAAAGATGCAATATAACTGAGGCAGGTACTTATTAGAACAACAACAAAAACCCCTCTGTGGGCTAATAAAACAGTAAAAGCTCTGTATCTCATACACAGCTGTGCTGTGTGGAGATGCTCTGCTTTTGAAAGACTTCCAGTGGAATTTTGAACTGCAACCAAAACATGAGAAAATGAATTAACAGTAATTCTGGTCATAAAGTGATTTCACAACCGAGATGACCAGACCGTCCCTTTTTCTGGCTGCTGTGAACAGGATTTTATTTCATTGTAAGTTTGTCTGTTATCTTCAGTAACTGTTTAAAATCACGAGATTAACCGATTGTTTTCTTTTTTTACACTCTGACGTTTTTATAGCTGCCTGAGGAAGAAGTGTTAACCTCTGTGTGTGCCATGCTTGTAAAGTGTAGCTTAAATCCTTGAAGCAGCAGTGTTAGGGTGAGAACAATTAGAAGTGGTTGACCTTCCTAAGCTTACACATGGCTGCAGTGGCTTTTTGGACCAGGCATTCAGGCCCTGTGGACCCGCTGGGCTGAATAGACTCATCAGTAAGACTACACCGGTGGGACGCTGCTGACCTCCAAGTGCCCGTCCCCGCTCTGCTCCACTGCTCTCATTGTTGGAAACACTCTGGCTTCTCCAGTTTCAAAGGCAGAGGAGGCCAGGGAAGCGGCACTTAGTCAGGGACCCTGAGTAGTTTATCCGAACCCTTCTAATCCCCACCGTCACCTCCACCCTCTGCCACACTCTGATATCTTTCAATCGCCCTGGTGGCCTGCGTCTCGATGCCCCGCTTCCTTTATTGCTGACCTGGAAACTTCCATCTGGAAGGAGCCAGATGGGGCCCAAGTGTCAGTTTCAACCTGCAGGTCCATATTACTTTTCTCCATCAATTAAATTGAAGTGGAAGGAGCTAGACGAGGCTTTGCCAGTCGGTGCCTCGTGTGTTATCATTGCATTTAAATCAGAGAGCGGAACATCTGTTTTTAGAACATCTGGCAGTGGTTGTTTAAGGACTCTGACTTTGTATGATTAACAAGGTCCTACTTGTGCACACCATGTTCTGCCAAACCTAGATTGCTTGCAAACTTAATGATAAATTATTGAACATTTTATTCAGACAGCAAGATACCACAACTTCAAGGCTTTAGAGGGACTGCTTGGTGCTTTGGGAAATACTGTTGCTAAAGGTTAAATCGTACCTTATGAGGTTATGTGTGAGGCTTTGGTCTTGTGTTAAAGCAGCGGTTGCAATGTCATCTTAACTAATTTGCTAATCTTTTATATGTCTTTATCAGAGTGGAATTTGAACTCTCGCCATTAACATTTTGGCAGCAGCTCTGTTGTTCTTTTTGGAGCTGTATTTAGGCTAGAGGGTGAAAGCACTGTACTGTCAGCTGAGGCCAGCAAACTATATCAAGAAACCGTTTGGTTACAGTACCCACAAAGAGAATACTGTTAATTAGGTATAAGTGATAAAATATTCAGATTGCAGTCATCAAAACTCAAACACAGACTTGTTGAAAGTCCACACAAGTTAGAAAGTCACATTGTTTGTCAGATAATTCCGTTAAAAAATCCTCAAAGGCACCACCTTTAAAGCCGGGACATGCAGTTCAAGCTGAGGCTTAGCAGGATTCATATGTCCAGCAGAAGCAGTGCGATCGCTGTCCGCTGGCAGTCTGAGAAAGAATCATCTCCCTACACTGAGCTCCGTTTCCAGGTGGAGGACGTGTACAGTCTGGTACAACTGGGAGCTTCTCTTGCTTGTGCTGGTGTTGGTTCGTCAGCCAGCTGTGGAAAACAAAAGTTAGGCTTCCAATGAGCTGAAGGGAAACCAAATGTTAAAAGCAAGAGAAAGTGTCACTGTGCTTTTCATGCTGTAGTTTTTGGATCTTAGACACGTACATCATCCACTTCTGCCGATGTGCTGTCAGGATCTTGGAGGACACCAAAGGAGTGTGTTTGGAGTTGGTGAACCCCGTTTATGCAGACAGACACAGTTAAACAGCTTCTGCTTTAGGAAACAGTCATTGCCTAGAGTTGCCTGTGTCTGCACCTGTCAGTCAAACTGGCCATGGCCAGAAATCCAAATGGGTGAATTGTAGTTGCCGTAAAGTGGGAAATTAGCTGTAAAGACCAAAACTATATATTGTACCAGGCTGTAATCATGTTCATGACAGAAGTTGGGCATTTTAACATGGGAGTCTATGGGAAGTGGCAGTTAGACACATCTGTGTCTAACTGCTTTGTTCTTCAGCCACAGAAGCTGGTGTTTAATAGAAAAGTCCAAAGGACACTTTCATTTCTGTTAAAAAAGTTATTCTTTTGTACTTTTCAGGGGAAATACAGCTGATGTTTTGGCAGGACAGTAACGTATGCAGTGACCAAAAATGCAGACATTCATATTCATTCTCACAGAGCATTTCGTACTACTAGTGGGTTTTGAAAACCTGCATGGTTGTAGCATCCGATACGTTAACAACGTGCTGCACATGTGTTGATGGCACAGCCGGTGGCAGCTGAGACACACCTCGTGGCTTTAACCAAAACCGAGTCAGTCGTTTCTGTCCAGATTGATGATGAGTCGAAACCAAAGGCCAGTTGTGGATGTGAGCAGTTTAAAAAAACAAAAACAGAAAAACATGTCTCATTAGAAATGAAATAGTACTTTAGTATTCTAGAGAAAAATCCTGTGGAGAGAATAAAGAGTGAACAATCACATCCCTGCTGGTTCTTTAATCTGTCTGAAAACACACTGAAAGATGGGAGGAAAGAAAAACTAAGAGACTAGCAAACATTCCACAATGCCATGTCATATACTGTACAGCAACCCTGTCTCCTCCTCTTCCCTTTCTCTCCCCCTCCCACACCCCCCTGTCTGTCTCTCAGTAATCCAGTAATCACAATACTACAGTAATACTTTGGACCTGTTAACACATTAACTCATCTTTATGTAAGTCAGTACGTAATCCTTAATAATAATCAAAAAAAGAAAAAAAATACAAGAAGTGCCG